CGCGTATGACGAAGACGATGAGCGTAGGTCATGCGAGTGCTTCTGGCGAGCCTGATAGTGAGTAGTTAGCGAACATGCTATTTGCCGACATTCTTCGACATATGTGGCGGCTTCGACCAAACTTGTGAATTCTGAAGGGTCTGGGCAGCACAGAAGGATAGTGTCCAAGAACGATGAAGGTTACCGAAAATAAAGAAGGAAGAATGGGGAGAATCCAGTTGTTGATTGAATTGCGCTATTGTAACCATAAGTAATGAATGGAAGTAAGCGGTCCCAGTTCGTATGGTCATCAGAAACATACATGGACACCATGTCAACCAGCGCATGATTAAATCACTCGGTCATCCCGTTGGTTTGGGGGTGGTATGCGGTCGTTGTTCGGTGCACGATGTTGCATTCGCTAGGAGGGCTTTACAGCTTCCGACAATAAGGAACGCCCACGGTCACTGAGAAGCTCGCAGGGTGCACCATGCGGAAGGACGAGGTTGTGCAGAATGAACAGGCCGACTCCATGCGCAGTGGCCTTGGGAAGCGCCGAAGTTTTGGCGTAGAGCGCAAGGTGGTCCACGGCTACGATGAACCAACGGTTTCCGTTTGGTGTGTATGGTAGGGGACCGTACAAGTCGATTCCGATGCGGCTGAAAGGCCGAGATGGACAAGGCAGTGGCTGGAGTGGCCCTGTGGTTGTGTGAGGGGAGCTCTTCCGGCGTTGGCACAAGGAACATGAACGGACGTACTGCCTAACAAAGCGGTACGTTCCGCGCCAGTAATATTGAATTCGTAGGCGAGCATACGTCTTCGCTACACCTGCGTGGGCGCATTGTGGATCCGCGCGGAAGGAGGCACAGACCTCAGAACGTAGATGGCGAGGTATTACCAGCAACCATTTGCGGCCAACAGATAGGTAGTTTCGCCGGTACAGAAGACCGTCACGGATGGTAAAATGGCGAGCAGTTCGTCGAAGTAAACGGTTGTCGGTACATGGAGACGTCTGAGACAGGTACTCTAAGAGAGATGCTATCCATGGATCCTGGCGTTGCTCAGCAGACATGTCGGCCTATTCAAGTGAAAAACATTCGCAGCTGGAAACAGACGCTGCAACATAACTGTGGGGAAGTGTCGAGCGAGAAAGAGCGTCGGCGCCCAAATGCTTGTGGCCTGACCGATAAATTACACGAATATCGTAATCTTGAAGAAGTAGTGCCCAGCGAGCTAGGCGACCAGTTGGGTCTTTTAATGACGACAACCAACACAATGCGTGGTGATCAGTCATGACGTCCAATGGGCGGCCACATACGAAAAGTCGGAATTTTGTGATTGCCCAAACAATGGCAAGGCATTCTTTCTCTGTGAATGAATAGTTCTTTTCCGCTGTAGGGAGGGTGTGACTAGCGTAGGATACAACATACTCGTCGAAGGCAGATTTAAGCTGAGCAGGAATAGCGCCGAGGCCATCTTCACTAGTGTCCTTATGTACTTCGGTAGGAGCGTCTGGATCAAAGTGGCGTAGGATAGGTGGTGATGTCAGAAGATGGCGTAAAGACGCGAACGCTTCGCCGCATGCTGGGGACCATGCCGAGAGGTCTTGGTTGTTGGAAAGTAGCTGTGTCAGGGGTGCAATTATGGTGGCAAAATTGCGCGTAAAACGGCGAAAATATGAGCAGAGCTTGATGAAGCTGCGGAGTTCTTTTAGTGTAGCCAGCCTGGGAAAGTCGGCGACAGGGCCAAGCTTGCCTGGATCTGGACGGACACAATGCTTGCTAACAACATGCCCTAAGATGGTAAGCTGGCGGGCAGCGAATGGCATTTCTTTCAATTAAGCTGCAGTCCAGTGTTCGAAAGACAAGTCAGGACACTTGCGAGGCGGGTGAGGTGGGAATTGAAGTTCTTCTAGAAAACGACGACGTCATCCAAATAGCACAGGCATGTTTTTCATTTAAAGCCTCTAAGGATGTTGTCCATGAGACGCTCGAAGGTGGCAGGCGCATTACAGAGGCTGAATGGCAAGACGTTAAACTAGTACATTCCGTCAGGCGTTCCGTCAGTCTTGGAGCAGTCGGCTTCATTCATAGGGACCTGCCAGTAGCCGGATCGAAGAACTTAAGAAAAGAACTCTGCTCTTTGCAGGCTATCCAAGGCGTTATCCATTCTGGGCTGCGGATAAACATCTTTTTGGTAATCTTGTTAAGACGTCTGTAATCAACGCAAAATCTGATGCCGCCATTCTTTTTTTTACCAGTACAACTGGAGAGGCCCAAGGGCTCTGTGAAGGTTTTATTACACCACGCGGAAGCATATTGTCCTCCTGATCATCAATAGCATGGTGTTCAGCGAGAGAACTCTATATGGGCGCTGGCGCAAAGGTGCATGGCTACCGGTGTCGATTTTGTGAACTGTGGCAGACGTGCGACCCAAAGAAGGTTGGCTATGGCCAAATGATATCTTGAAGCGATTGGGTAGAGCCAGGAGTTGGGTGCGCTGAGCAGCGGGAAGTTTAGGGTTAATTGATGGGAAAAAAGCCTCCGGAGATAAAGTGGGAGCGGTATCAGAGGTAATGCTGTTTAAGAAGATGATGACAAGTCATCAGATAGGTGACTGGATGAAACAGAATCAATTTCCTCAAGGTGACCGAGGAGTTCGCCGAGGAATAATATGGCCAAGTAAGGAAGCGAGTTTGTTTTATAGGTGAAGCCACGCGAGTTTTCTACGGTGACAACTGCGAGCGGGAGCAGGAAGCTTTTGCGAGAGTCGAATGTGTCGGAGGGGATAAAGAGGGCTGTGACAGGGGGTGCGTCGTCGCAGAAGAGTGGCGCATGAACACAGAATAGAGGAGGAATGTAAGTGTCTGTGGCTACGGCGACTCGGGGAGATAGCGGCTTGAAAGAAGGTCCTTCAGATGTCGGCGCTTCACACAGGGGCACGCGCACAGTGAACGACGGCATGGTGAGCGCAGAGGAAGTTCCAGCCTAAGATGATATCGTGTGAAGATGGAAAAAACACAACGAACTCGACTACATACAAAATATTTTGGGTGACCAGTCAAGCTGTGCACGCCGCAAAAGGTTTTATGTAATGCGCAGTGGCCGTGCGGAGAGAGACATTGGAAAGTGGCAGCGTAAGCTTCTTCAACTTGCGGCACAGTTCACGACTTAGCATAGACACGACAGTACCAGTATCAACGAGCGTTTTCGCAGGTACACCATCAATATGCACAGTTTATTCATTAGCAGGTAAAAACGGAGGTCTTGAAGGTTTCGATATGTGCGCAGGTCTTGCCTCGGGAACTGCGATGGTCAGTTTTCCGTTTGGGCGGGTGGTGATCGAGGAAGCATCGGAGAATTAGAGCGGCGCCGTGGTGAGGGCGACCGATTCTTGTCGAAGCCGCGGTGACGTGGCGGTGACTGATCCGAAGGGGGATAGGGCAACGAAGACGGCTGTGGTGGCTCTGGATGATAGGAGCCGTAAGTCGCTTCACCAACAGTTGGGCGTTAATACCCACGACAGCAGTAGCGTGATACATGACCAGGAAGCTGGCAGAAATAGCAAATGGGCCTGTTGTCTGGAGTGCGCCAAGGGTTTGTTGATTGTGTGGTGGGATGGCGAACAGGAGGTGGGTGGCGATGGGTAGATGGACCTGCTTCGTAGAGGGGACGGGGCTTTCTAGCAAGATCCGTGATGGTTGGTAGCGACGGCGGCGATTGTCTGGCGGCCTCAGCGTAAGTGAGAGGGGCGGAGATAGTCGGAGGATTGTATGTGGGAGACAAGGCGTCAGAAACTTGCTCTTCGATTGCCTTGCCGAGCGTTGGGGTCAGCGTGTGCACACGGGTTGGAACGTACGGCACAAGAGACAAGTGGCGTGAAACTTCTTCTCGGACAAACTTCTGAATTTGCTGCATTAACGTGGTTTGTTCGGAGGAAACAGCGCCAATGGTTAACCCAGATGTAGAGGTCGTGTGGAGGTTTGGACATCGAGTAGAAATCCACTCTCTGCAGCTCGTCGAAACTCTGACAGTGCTGAGTAAGCTGGGCGACGGTTTGCGGGTTTTTCGCAACGAGGATGTGAAAGGCGTCGTCCTCGATAACTTTCATGATGTTACGTATTTTGTCTGTGTCAGGCATGTCGGAATCGATACGACGGCAGAGGCCTAGAATATCTTCAATATACCAGGTTAAGGTCTCGCCTGAGCGCATCGGCCGAAAGCTTCTGCGAAACGCGCCTTGAAGGTTGACCAAGAGGCTATTTCCGCTCTGTGATTGGTAATCCACAGTTCTGCCACAGCCGCGGGATAACAATTGAGATAAGCGAGCTTGTCTGTGTCATCCCAATTATTGTGGGCGCTTACCGCTTCATACTCCGACAGCCAGTCTTCGGCGTCTTAGTCGTCGGTCGCGTTGAATGTCACTGGATCTGGCTGTCGTGGCATTCCGGAACAGATGACAGATGGGATTATCACTGCAGGGGGCTGGATATTGTTGTCAGGCATTGGTGAGGCGAGGGGCTGAGGTACAGTTCGGGAACGGAGTTCCAGTATGAGACTACCAGCACTCTCCACCAAATGTAAGAATACTGTTAGACGCACGCCGGGGTGGAGCAACCATTTATTGGGCTTAACAGCACCGAGACAGCAACCAGCGGTTTCAGCAGCAGCTGCAGCAGCACGAGCCTCCGCCACAATAAAGGTCTTCTTCATCGTTTTAGAGCCCGTATTTGTCACTACACAACATTCACCAACCTCACTAAAAAAACATAACGACTAGTCACTGGACCAAAACCACGTTACTAGCTGATATATTATGAAAAATTGTCATTATTGGCTCTCAATGTATGTTCATGTAGACGGTAGACAGCCACTACTTACCAAAACGTAGACGGCCACTACACACAAAAAACAGCTGCTCAATCTATAAATTCCAATTGCACTGATTATGATCGGACTGATCACGTTAGGTATTAGTAAATTTCACTGCGTTGTTTGTTCAGAAGGATTTGATACGCTTACCTTTGTTGACACGTCTTTTTCTGCTTGTACAATCTTTCCTTTGGATCCGCCCTCACTGACATCCCGAGCTTTGGTCCTGCAATTGGAATTCATGTTAGCCAAATTATTTAAAATATTTTTGTTCAAAAGGTGACTCATTAGTGCCAGTGGAAGGTTTGCCAACAACTACACCATGGTGCGTGCATGGCTTTATTGGCCATGTACATTGCCATTTGAGGCCTTCGTGTTCCATCGTCATTGCAGTCGTAGCAGTAATACGAGTATATGTGCGAAAGATTGAATATGGCTTAAGTCAGTTATGCCTGGTGTGAGTAACGAGAGGTCGAATGCTCGGCGTATAGAAACGAGACGGCTCTAGGATCGCTGGGCGATGGAACATGCGATTCGGCTGGCTGCTTTCTCTTGGTTTTACCGACTATGAAATCTGGGTTCTTTCAGTCTCCTCGAATAACTTCCCATAGCTGCCAACAAATCCCAACGAGCCGCTTCTTTTACATATACGATGCAACCCCGGCTCCTCCTCAGTTGCTGGAACGCGGATGCACCGGCTCATTCTCTGACGTCATGCTAGACCGGGCGGTGAGCCAACACTCCTTGAAATTTTTAGAGGGTGTCATGTTAGCAGCGCTGCCAACTGCGGTGGTTGCTATACAACAGCTCTGGTTCATCTCGGAGCATGTCATTCACGAGCCGCAACCTTCTTTACATACGCTACCTCTTTTACGTCCCAAACACTACCTCTTTTACAAACGAGACAATCAAAGGCTCTCTGGTGCATCTATTTTCTAGTGCATCAGTGTTTTGCGCTTCTATTATCAAATACTAGATGTTTCGGTATGCAGAAACACGTAATGCTTCTTTCTTGCTGTACTCGTTGTGTCCGCCATCAGATCGAAGCACGTGTTCTGGGGACTTAGATTAAGCGGGCGAAGAAAACGTTTGCCGGTTCTTGATGATTATCATGTTCTTTCTGTTGCTCATGGACTAACAGCCAACTGAACCAACCTCTATGGTAACAATATTTTTTGAACTTTTTTGGCTGTGAAGTGAACACATGAGTAAAATGTAGGCACACGCCTTGACAGGCGATTGGAAGAGCATGTTCGCAGCAGTTCTTGAAAAACGCTGTGTTAAGTAAAGCCCTAAACCACACCCACTGAACCGCAGTCCAGAATAGTTACCGTAAAGACGAGGGGTGTGCTCTAGAGTCCTTCTTTATTTCGGAGATGTCTATCAGTACTATTAGGACATGCCTACATAGTTATATCTCCTGCTACATGGTCTCGAGTGTGCATCTTCCCTACCTTGCTATTGAAGCTATACTCTGTTTTTACGTTACTCAGGTAAGAACTTCAAGAACACTTCAAGGAGATACGACAGAAACTGATACGCAAGAAGCCAATCAATGAGCTCACACTGAGAGGGAAAGCAGAGAAATTCAGAGTGTAGCTTCAGATCAGATACTTGGCTCTTATCGAGGAAACCTGCCTTATTGTTCACGCGATGAATGATAATCTGACGAGTATCATTACTGAGTGTGCAGTGAAAGTTGAAGGTACGGTAGTTGGGAAGGACTATGGCAAGCTATCCCAGAAGATAAAAAAACCTCATTAATAAACTTCAAAGTGTAAAAACGTCAAGCACAGCAGAAAAAATAAAACTAGCAGAGCTGTCGAAGTTGAAATATAAGCGTGAATTATTTGATGTAGGAAGGTACATTGTAGGAGGGTACATTGAACATGCTCTAAAGAACAAAGGAAGCTTCAACGTGGTGAAGAGGAAACTTTGAATAGGCAAAACCAGGTTTATGCACTAAGGAACAAGGAAGACAAAGTAAGTACTAATATGAACAGGAGAGTTAAAATCACAGAAGAATTCAAAGGGATCTATAAAGTAACCGGGAAAGACACGGCTCTAATGTAAGAACTAGCAGCAACCCAGATGACATCCCACCAGTAATGACAGAAGTCAAAAAACCATTGGAGGGAATGCAAAGAGGCAATGCCGCTGGTGAGGATCAGCCGAAAGATGGAGCACAGATCAGATCAACTGAAAGACAGAGCACAGATTAAATTGGAAAAAGTGGCTAGCCTGTTTAGGATGCTTTGTTTGCTGTGGAGGGCACCAGAATCTTGAAAGAATGGTAACGTAGTCCTGATTTATAAGAAATAGGAAGAGAAAGACTTACGGAACTACAGTCTGATCAGCTTGCTCTCGGTCGTACAGAAACTATTTACAAAATTAATTGCTAACAGGATGAATACAGCACCGGAATTCAATAAACCAAACGAACAAGCAGGATTTCGAGCATGCTTCTTGACAGTCTACCGCATACTATCAATTAGGTTATAAAAAATGCTCAGAATACAGTCAACCATATACATAGCCATTATACATTACAAGAAGGCATTTGATTCAGTAGAAATATCAGCTGTCATGCAGACACTACGAAATCAGGGCGCCGACAAAGCATATAGAAAGCTCCTGGAAGAAATCTACAGAGTATACTGGCACCATAGTGCTTCATAATGAATGCAATAGAATACCAATTAGGAAGCGTGTGAGACAAGAGAATACAATCTACCCAATCGTAATTACCGCGTGCTTGCACTAGACTGTCAGGGGCCTAGAATGCGTTGACATAGAAATAAGAGTTATGGGAGTGTACCGTTGGAACTTGCGCTTAGCCAATGACATGGCATTGCTGAGTAAATCAGCTGACGAATCGCAACTCTTAATTACAGAATTAAACAAGGAGAGCAGAAAGGTAGACATTCAAGGTAATCGGCAGAAAACGAAAGTGATGTACGAAAACCTCGGAAGAGAAAAGCGCTCCGATATAAGTATTAGTTCACTTGAAGTTGTAAAATACTACGTCTACTTAGGACAGGTTAAAACCGTGGAGCCGAACCATGAGATTGAAGTAATTAGAAGAATAAGAATGGGGTGAAGCACATTCGGCAAGCACTGTGAAATCTTGGTTGGTAGATTCCCACTATCCTGGAGGAAAAACGCATATGGCAGCTGCATATTGCCGGTACTTACCTACAAAGCAGAAACCTGGAAGCTTAAAAAGAAGGTTCAGCTTAAATTGAGGACGACGCAGCGAGCAATGGAAAGGAAAATATAGGTGCTACCTTGACAGACCAGCAGAGAGAAGAGTGGATCAGGAGACATACCGGGATTGCGGATATCATAAATGAAATCAAGAACAAGAAATCGACATAGGCTGGGCATGTAGCACGTAGGTGGGATAACCGCTAATGATTAAGTGTAACAGATTGGATTCCCAGAGTAGGCAAGCGGGTGTGAAGGAGGCAGAAAGTTGGCTGGGCAGATGAGATTAGGAAGTTTGCGGGTGTAAATTGGCAGCAGCAAGCACAGGACCGAGTTGACCAGAACATTGGAAGGGTCTTTGTTTTGCAGTAGACGTAGTCAGGCTGATGATGATGATGATGATGCTGAGACCGTTACATAATTTCTTTACCTGTCACGGTGGTCTGGTAGCTATGATATTTCACTGCTCATGTGCAAGTTACGAAAGTGAATCCCGGCTGTGGCGCCCGCAATTTTGATGGAGGCGAAAATGCCTGAGGCACTTCATCTTTAGGCCTGACCACACGCACTTGTCGCAGCGCATCAGTGCGTGATATTCTGACGCAGCGTCACGCCCTCTACTTATGTAGAGAGTGGGCGTGCAGCGACTCGTAGCCACAAGCCCACCGCGAGATCGAGTGGAGTGGGCACCTGGCGGCCACTGGTTGGAGCGCGTGTTGACGTGACTCACTTAAAGGCATGCTCGCTTCTTTCTTTTATAACTTAAGTAGCAACCTCGAGTACAATGAAACTGTTTCTATACAGTGGTAATTTGCTAGGACACGTTGCTGGGCTAGTTGGTTGGGGTTCATTGACTATATGGGCATCGCGCACCATGACGAAGACACACGTGCGCTGTGTGTGTGCGTCTAAGTTTCTGTGTCCTTGTAGTGGTGCGCTATACCCTTATTAATGACAGTGGTAATCTTCAATTTTCATGCCTCTGGCAGCTCTCTGCCAGCCAGAGCTAGCCAAAGGGTGAGCAAGCTAGTTCCGATTTGGACAAGCAATATAGTCATTGTCAGGTGTGGAGGGAACCCGAGACAACCCGAAGCTTCCCAGCGTAAACGTAAACAAACGCTACCGTCGCGGCACCAAACGAAACGATGTGCCGCATTTGCGTTGTCTTTTTTTTCTGCATTGTCCACTTGCGAGTACGTGGCTATGTTTGCCGAAGAGGTCAAAAATATCCTAAAGCGTACGCATTTGGGGTACGACTTCACACGCTCACACGACCACTTGGCGCGTCCGCGAACGAAACATCCAGGTGGCACACGCCTCCTCTAGAACAATACAAAGTGAGCTGCCGTGCCACTGATGGCTTAACAAGTTCATGTCTTGTATTTTACATGTTACAGTCACTGCACAACACGACGCTAACTCGAGCGAAAGTGATCGTGTTAAAAAAGAGCTTGAGAATATACACCTGCGCAGCTATGGTGTAGTATATATCACAAGCAAGCGTTTACCAAATATTGACTGTTGGGCGAGCTGTTGCTTCGACATAGACACCATCCTGAGGACACAACTAAACAAGACACACCAGAGAACACTGATGGGGTCAGGCGCACTCCTCGTCTGTTTCTTCTCGTGCGTCCGTTTAGTTGTGCTCTCGCCATGGTTTTTATTTCATGAGTTGACGAACTTGCGTTTTTATCTAAAGTTCCGAGATGCGTAGGTATCATTACCACGAGGGCGCGTCGTATTTAAAATGAACTTCTGCACGACGCGTTTTCGACATATTTGGAGACATACGTGGGCGTCTTTTCTTTTAAAGTCTCGTGTATCTCAGTTTCGATATGAGATACTAGGTCATATAACACGGCAATTTTACTACGAGGCGAAAAATTACAAAACCGGCAATGAAATGGGACACAAAAGAATGTGTGCATTTATGAACCTACCTTCGTCAAATTTCTTCTCGCGTCGACCTGTCGTAGTGCAACATATTACCATACCACATATGCTGAACTTTATAAT